AACGTTTGGGGCTGGAAAGATGGGTACACACACACACACACACACACACACACACACACACACAAAAACAAGCGCACGCATTAACACATGACCACACTCGCAGACACACACACTTTTGTAATCCTATTTCAGATTAGTGTAAGGATAATGACCTCTCAAATGGAGAAAGGGCAAAGTACACTTGTTGCACGATAAAGCATTTATGGTCAGCAAGGGCTATTATTCATTTGATGTTGGATGCTTGTGTTACACTAACTTGGGAATAATTGTCTATTTTTGCACCCCTTTCTATTGTGGTTGCTGTCCACAATGTACAGTTGTATGTGATGTGATCAGATTGCTTGTTTTTTTTGACAGTCATGGAATAGAAATAACAGGCAGGTTATGGACACATGATACTCATTGTAATTATAGTTGAGGTGAAAAGCGTGAGCAAAAATCCTATATTAAGTTGAACAGCCTGTACAGACAGATTGTTTCTTGACAACATACAACATTTTGAAACCATTTACCATGCCGATGCAGGAGCTAAATGAAAAACTGTGCGTTTTACTAATCAAATATTGTTTCATTATGACCTTCTGATTTAATTGAAACATGCAGTAAGGATATATTTAAGACAACCAAATAATTGAAATTGTCACAATATAAGTTCCATTTTTGCATTCCAGCCAAATATAGCCACAATATGATGTTAATTTATTCCTAAAGGAGCATCATTTGCATGACCTTTTTTTGATGCTAAGCTTGCGCAGGTGTACCCGAAGATTGTGACCAATGCGTGCTTGTCCATAAATGTACTGATTTGAAAATTAATTAAATGTAAATAAATAACTGAAAACAATAAGAAAGACTTGTATTACTCTTAAGATGATATCTCACTGAATGGCACAAATTTGGCGTTTGCGTCAGGGTGTGTAAATGGTTGCAAAGATGTTCGCAGACAGTTTTTAACAAACAGAAATGTTCTTTCTTGTCACAAAAAGAAGACATTGCTATGCAACAAGAAAACCTGCCTGCAAACATCTTTGCAACCTTTTATGAGCTCTGACAAAAGCCCCAAATTCGCTGCATTCCAAGCATTCGTAGCTCAATTATGGTGTTAGATTTTTTTCAGGGCGAAGCGGTTACAATGAAACCTCCTTTCAGAAACATCTTGGAGGTGACTCGAAAACACTGGCCATCTTGGGCCGAGTCGTCACTCCTCTACACACGCCCATTCCTGGTTTTATACGAGCGAGACAGAACCAGCCGTCGGCTGTCACTCCAGTCATAAAAATACAGATATATATAATAAACATAATAGTATTTTACCACAACGCTGACCCATATATATATATAATTTCATATGTTCAAATGGATGAAGCTTTGATGATTGATAGAAATTTTCACAAGCGCACGCACTGCTCACTGGGTCACATTGAATTGAATGTGTGATCTCGTACAGTGGACTGTCGCCCAAAAATTGCGGCTCCCACCTCGAGAACGGCGGCTTTGGGCAGATGCCGAAGGGATTCGGATGCCACAGAGTGAAGGCAACGAGCAGTTGACTCCGAGAGGCAGCCAACTGAATGAGACTGAGCTGCTCGCAAAATCACTATTGCATTAATATGGTTCACTGTTGCTGTAGAACTCAATATATGTGTACTGTATACACTATATTTTGTCTAGACAGCGGCCAGCCAGAGGGAGACTTTGTCTTAATGGCTTAGGTTTTTTGTTCAAATGTGAAAGCTTCTGTGCATTTGATGGGCAGTACTTTGTGACATTGCCACATCATGCGACAGCAATTCATATTTTGAATCGACCCAAAAACAGTGGCCCAGACTCTCCTCTTCTGAAATGTTACGGCAGAATCCCACACGCTCTCTATAAGCAGGCTTAAACTGATCCCGTCTTTTGTAATGGAAAAACAACGGAGTGTGGTGTCGGGCCAACTGGAGCGGTTTGGCGTCGGCTAATGGGAAAAGCGGCATTGGCTTCACAGCATTATATTAATAAAAAGCACAGCTGACACTGTATGACAAATGAAAAATGCTTTGGGGATTTTCTGTTGTGTTCGTCAAACAGTACATACCATGAATGCTGAGGAGTTCCGTCGTCGAGGAAAGGAAATGGTTGACTTTGTAGCCGACTATATGGAGAATCTGGAGCAGAGACCGGTCTTTCCAGATGTAGAGCCGGGTTATCTCCGATCCCTAATCCCGACTGAGGCACCGCTGGAACCAGAGAACTATGACGAGATCATGAAGGATGTGGAGCGAGTCATAATGCCTGGGGTAAATTTTTTGTCCTACTTATTATTCCCATTTGTTATTGCATTTTACAATGCACTGTAAAACTTTCACTGTAAAAATTACAGTCCTGGCAGCAGTGATCCCATAAAGTACCATAATTTTCTACAATATGTTACTGCATCGATAATTTACAGTATAATAGTATAAATTGATACATCTAGTTAATTATTGTATTTTTGATTATTGAATACAGTATTTTATGGGATCATTGCAGCCAGCTCTAATTTATAGTGATCCCGTAAAATACTTGACTTTGACAATTTCTTTCTATTATCTTTTTTACCATTAATATCACTTGTATTTGGACAATAGGGCAAGTGGTTAGCATGTCGACGTCACAGTGCAGTGGTACCGGGTTCAATTCCAGCTCCGGCCTTCCTGTGTGGAGTTTGCATGTTCTCCCTGTGCTTGCGTGGGTTTTCTCCAGGTCCTCCGGTTTCCTCCCCCATTCCAAAAACATGCATGGCAGGCTGATTGAACACTCCAAATTGTCCCTAGGTGTGAGTGTGAGCGGGAATGGTTGTCTATTTCTGTGTGCCCTGCGATTGGCTGGCAACCGGTTCAGGGTGTCCCCCGCCTACTGCCCGGAAACAGCTGAGAGAGGCTCCAGCACCCCCCGCAACCCTAGTGAGGATAAAGCAGTTCGGAAATTGAATGAATTGATTGAATGAATGAATGTATTTGGACAATAAACTGTTCCGCTCACCCCTACCAGAAAATTTTACCAACATTAGTTGCCAATAACAGTTGCCAATAATTCGCAAGTTCTTGTGTAGGACCTTGTGCACCGTTGAACGCGGTAGCTGTAACTGTGTGGTGGCAGTACGGATGGACTTTGTGGGAGAACGAGAAAAAGATTGTCTTACACAATCGATGTTTTCATTAGATGTTCTTGGTCGCCCCACTCCTTCCTTTATCTAACACTGTCCCTGTCCCCATAAATTTCTTGTGCCATGCCCGAATTGACGGACGTGATGGTGGATCTCTTCCATACTTAGTTCTGTAGTTTCGCTGAGTCTGCCTATCCGATTTTGTTTCAATAAACCATGAGACACATTGCGCCTTCTCTTGGGGGGTAGCCATTTCGGAGGGGTTCATTCAACGTCATCTCTTTCACAAACAGGATCCCTGAAACACACAAATGCAGTGTGATAAAAACTTTAATAAACACTGAATACAATGGAACAAATCTGAATAAAATATTGTCAGAGATTTTCTCGGACAAAGTTAAAGAAATGACTCGGCACACAGGAAAATTGTCTTCAATATCGGCGGGAGGGGGATCTCTGAGAGCGAACGACGGTAGTTGCTCCGATGATCACAGTCTCCCGCTCCCTTCCCCCCAATTCCGACTTTTATTGTAACATACAAGGAAAACACTGCCCCCGACATTTGCATACCGCACCCCCGGTCCGGCCCCTCGGTGGTGATTGGTTACCTGTTTTTTAAACTTGAACCACCAGTACGTTGGCGCCTTTTCTGTCTGGTCTACATCGAATTAACATGTTGCAGACTTTGCGGACGACAAATGTCGCCTGGGCGCGACGGGTGTTCTCAACTCGTCTTTTGTTGTTCAACCGCTGTTCCCAAATTATTCATTCCCCTTTTGTGACCGAGTTTCGCCCCCTCCCCTGTGATTGCCCACCTGCATTGACGTGCTAATTGTGGACTTCAACAGCCCTCCGGCCAGGTGGCCGGCGCCTATGTGCACAGGCATTTGGAGGTGCTGGATACGCACCCAAACGTTTAGATGTGCCCAAATTAAATGAAACTTTAAACATGATACAATTTTGCTGATAGATTTCTCTAACAAATATCTAATGAATTGCATTTTTAATACATTTTTGAAACGGTAAAGAGACTTTATGGACACCCTGTAGTTGTTTTGTTTTTTTCCTCTCAAATATACACATTTTGTTAGCAATTCCAACTTAAAACTGTTGACTTCAACCCAAACAATTTCTTTTAAATTTTCAAAATGAAAGTCCAAATTGCAATTTTTTTTTTCTTTTTTACCTCTAATTTGATTCAAACTGTTCCAACTTGAAACTGTTCAGCTCATCCTTACCACAAGAATTGTATAAAAATTGTAGAATAAGACAGTTGAGTTTTTTTACTCTAATTTCCAAATTCTTTTTGGATTTTTTTTGGAACAATTTAGACTGTTCCAACTATTTTCATAAAAATATTTTAAAATTAAAGCCACATTTTAAATTTTTTTGTTTGTATTTTTTATGATGCCAAATTAGAATTTAATTACGTCTAATTTGCACTAACTTTTGTGGTAACTCTAAGGTGTTCAGTTCATTTAATTTTTTTTTTTCAGTATTTAAAAAATTAAAGCCAAAAGTTGACTTATTTATTTAACCTTTATTTTCCACATTTTTGACTGGTTAATCTGTGCCAACATCAAATTGTTCATTTTAGTACTATTACATTTCCCCTTCATTGAAATCATTATAACTTGAAACTGATCAGATCATTCCACATAATTCCATAATGATCCTAATTATTCCATGAGTTACTATTGTTCAATATCATTCAATATATTGCATGTTGTTTCACATTATTCAATATGATTCAAGATCATTACATGTTTCCATCATTCAAAAAACATTTCTCCAGAAATTGCATTTTTTAAATGTGGCCTGAGTAGCCACCGTTGCGAGGTTCCTCTTGTTTTTGTGGTAAATAGTATTATGTCCCTATTATTATGGCCTGAACAGTGACTGCTGTGAGGTCCCATTTGTTTTTGTTTAATTAATATTAATGAATATTATTTTCTTAGTATTTTGCAAATGAATCACTTTTTTCAGCACCTAAACGTACATGAAAAAAAATTATCAAAGTGTGCATACTCATTGGCCTAAGCAAAAATATCAATAATTTAAAGGTGAACTTGGGTTTTTTGCTATCAAGCTCAATTTACTTTGTGTATTTTTTTTTTATGAGGGATATGAGGGAAGCTTGCATTTTCAATTCTATCAATTTGTTTTGGACAAATCAATACAAAAACTTGGGACTTTAAAAACGCCTCCTGAAAATTTGCAATATGGCGACGCCCCCCTCTCCTCCCTCTATGTCCTGGTGTGAGTCGCAAAATGGACCTGAAACTATTTGTTCATTCAAAATCATTATAAATAATGTACATCGCTAATAATGTCAAAACTACGGGGTTCGATCGGCCCCAAAATGTATGTGGGACATGTCTACTTAGGCCGACTTCAACCTCTGAAATTATCACAAAATGATTAGCCTTTCCATGGCTGACTTAAAAGAGAATGAGGAAATGAGCATCTTACAACATGCACACATATGTGCATTTTGTGTCTTGTCTGTTTTCTTAAAAATATAACCAAGAAAGGCAAAACAATTTCGTAAGCTTAATTATTCATGGGTGGTTATATATTACATTTTAATCTAGAAGCATTAACTTTCTTAATTTGTTTCCCCACGGCCCTCCTGGGGAAATGCCTGCACCATTCATCTGAAAATGACACGTCAAACATGGCCACAACTCGGCTGTAGGGTCGGTTTCCTCGCTGGAGTTTAGGAGCTCCTACATTTTTCATTCTGTTAATGCATCAATCCATTTTGTGCACCGCATATCTTCGCGCTCACTCGTGCGCTTGCTGGATTTTTCAAAGTCCAACTGGCATGTTAGTTTATCCGAAATTGATGTCGGATTACTTGCACAGCGCAACCTCTGCATCTCTGGTGGCAAACGCAATGCTACTGGCTGTTTTATTGTCGGCGAGCACGGAGCTTCTCGGCTGCCTGGATGGCATCTGTCCGCGAGACAGAGCCCCATGTTTGGCTGGTCAGAAACTGATCTCATTCTGCCATCCAAGTCTGTTGAGCAGCCAAGATGCAGTGTTGTTAGTTAACGGGAGTTAGCGGAAGATAACTATAGCTGCCAGCCTGCCTATATGAAGTTAAACAAAACTTAAGTGGTGCTAAATGTCTGAAACCTATGACCAGTCACCACCAACATTCAGAATTCATAGTTCTACTGTTGTCCACTTCAGCCTGTGGAAAAAAAGGGAAGAAAAAAAAAAGATGCTCACAATATTTTTGATTTTGTGGAGGTGGTCGTGGTTTTTGTTTATTGGAACTCACATTTGATGTAAGTAAATGCAAACTATTTTGGTAATGATTGGTCAACCTTTCTAACAATATTCCAAGCCAACAGGAAACAATATTAGAATGCTTGTCTCCCTGCTATAATGTGGACAGACTGAATTTTTTTTTTAAAATCCCTCCAAATTACACACTAAAAGTGGCCAGGCCAATCTTGGATTAGTCATCACAAAAAAGCCCGAAAATCACACCATATTCTTGTAGGGAGGTGAATTTCAGTGCTGATATCATTAGCACATACATAAGTATTGTATAAGCCCCGATGTTTGGCCCTTCCATTGTCCCTTTAAAGTTGCAATGCACAATTTAAAAAAAATGGCTCTGTAGCACCTGAGATTTAAAACGTGGTGAGAATGCAGGCCGAAAGACATCTATGAATTTATTTTTCACCATGGTGGGACGACCACCTACTAGCTAAAGGAGATCCTTTGATATTTTTCTCATAGCGGGCTAACCAGATCTCACATTCGTGAAGAGGAAAGTGATTCATGATATTAAAACAGAAAATCTGAAATGCTACTGCCGTGGCAACGTACTGTACACCAAGAAAATAATGCAGACTTTGAGGGTCTATACATATACGGAAAATTAGGAAATTTTGCACACAATATTTGGACATCCTATGACAAAACCTCTGGGTGATGGCATCATTCTTGTCCTGCTCCTGTGCCCATATTTGGGCATTTCGATGACATCGGTTTCAGGTGGCGTCATTCTTCTGGTTCTGCCTCTTTAACCATATTTGGACTTCCAATAACATAGCACTTCTGCCTAGCCCACCCTACGACTGAACAAATTCAGACATGTCCTTGATAATGTATTCCTTCCGGTCCTACCCCTTT